CCCCCCCCCCTCCAGGACTTACAGCTCTTCAGAGAAGCTGGTGGCTGGGACGTGGTCAAGGCCGTGGCTGAGTTTTGGTGCAGCCGTGTGGAGTGGAGCCCTGGGGAGGAGAGGTACCACCTGAGGGGTAAGGACATGAGGGCCACTGCCGGGGCATGTGGGGGATGGTGGGGGACGGGGGGACAGAGAGCGGACGGTCACATGTAGGGCACATGGATGGGTTCAAGTCCCTGAGGCTGTCTTGCACTTGCGTGTTAAGGAGTCATGCCCCCCGATGAATACCACTCAGGCGTCAACAACTCTGTGTACACCAACATCCTGGTCCAGAACAGGTCAGACCCTAGCCCCCCGCCCCACCCCACAGTGGGGGGTCCAGCCAGAGCACCAGCACCAGCCCCTCCACTCCACCCCTAGCCTGCACTTTGCTGCCGTCCTGGCCTGCGACTTGGGTCAGCCTGTCCCCAACCAGTGGCTGGTGGTGGCTGATAAGATCAAGGTGCCCTTTGACCCAAAGCGGCACTTCCACCCAGAGTTCGATGGGTACCAACCTGGTGAGTGGACTCAAAGCCCCTTAGGGGCCCCTCCCTGTCCGCAGGACTTTGTGTCTGCCCTGGATGTCCCCTTAACACCTCCCTCAGTAGCTCCTGCCCCCCAGGAGAGGAGGTGAAGCAGGCAGACGTCGTGCTCCTGGGATACCCCGTCCCGTTCCCCCTCAGTCCTCACGTTCGCAGGAACAACCTGGAGATTTATGAGGCTGCGACGTCCCCCCAGGGTCCTGCCATGACCTGGGTAAGGAGACTGTGGGGTGGTGGTCCTCACGGCCGCCTGGCCCTGTCCCACTGGCCACAGTCTTCCCTCCCAGCGCAGTGGGCCTCACCCCAGTTGTCCTTTGACCTCTGACTCCTGACTCCAGAGCATGTTTGCAGTGGGCTGGATGGAGCTGAAGGACCCCCAGCGGGCGTGGGGCCTCCTGGAGAGGAGCTTTGCCAACATCACCGAGCCCTTCAAGGTCAGTCTGTCTGTGGCCTCCACCTACACGCTGACCACACCTGCCTCCTACCAGGGCCCCAGTTGGTGGGTGTGGAAGCTCAGCCTCAGGGGGTCACAGCCCTGACCTTGGTCCCCTTTGGGAGCAGGGACATAGCCTCAGGAGGGCGTGTCCTCAGGGTCCAGGCCCTGACTGTGCTGCCCCCTGCAGGTGTGGACGGAGAACGCTGATGGTTCAGGTGCTGTGAACTTCCTGACAGGCATGGGGGGCTTCCTGCAGGCAGCACTCTTTGGGTTCACGGGGTTCAGGTGAGTGTAGTGGCCAGCAGAGGGTGGTCACCTGTCTCCACCCACCCTCCTCACAGAACTTCCCCCTCCCACTAGGATCACCCATAGTGGCCTGACCTTCGACCCCATGTGTCCGGCGGGGGTCTCTGGAGTGTGTGTCTCTGGCATCTTCTACCAGGGGAACAAGTTTGACTTCTGCTTTTCTCAGGGCTCTGTGGCAGTTGAGGTCACAGCCCAGGCAGGGCCCTGGGCCCCCCTGCTGGAGGCTGAGCTGTGGCCATCACAGGCTAGGCTCCCCCTTCCCCCTGGTAGGCAGCCACCTCAGACCCACCCACGGGTCCAGGGCATGTCACATGTGGGGCCGGGTGGATGGGTTCAGGTCCCTGAGGCCGTCTTGCACTTGCGTGTGCAGGAGTCATGCCAGAGAGCCAGGGTATGTGCCCTCACCCACAGGGTGCCCACTCGCCCTACAGGACACAAGGTCTACTTCCCCTACTCAGCTGGCCGGATACAGAGGTCACTCCCGTAGCAGAACCAGCAAGTTCTCCTCCAAGAGAATTTGAGAGAAGACATGGGAGAATCTTTTGAAGACATTGACACCAGCACCAGAGCCCACAGGACCCCCTCTGGGACTCCCTGGGCCCTGCAGCCCCACCGTGTCTTCACCCGGGCACTGTCCTGGGCACTGCCCTTGAACAACAGGGCCCTTTGGCCTTAGGGCCCTCGGGTGCTCCCCTTTGACCACTCTTTCTACGGTCGCCGCCACCTATCGTTGACCCCCTCCGGGCCTACCATCCTCTGCAGCCCAGCTCAGGCCCTACGTAAAGTCCAATTTTTAGCCAGTTCAAGACTGTGTGCCTCAAGCCCTCCCCAGCCTAAACACCCCAGATGGTGTTGTTCCCCAGGTGGCTTCCCCAGGTGGCTTCCCCGCAGCCTCCCACACCAGCCACCTCCCTGCCGGCCTCTCTGGGCCCTCACCTGCACCTGCACCCCGAAGACGCTGTGGGCAGGCCCGGGCCTCTGGGTGGAGGGCGGGGCCTGTCCCCTGTGGGGTCACGCGGGGCTCTCCTTGCAGCTCCACCCCAAAGGGACATCACACAGTTGATATGGGGCCGTGGTGGGACTCAGCATTCTCAGCCCTTGGCCGCTCTGGCCTCTGGACCACTTGAGTCAGGTTGCAAGCCTTCATCGCGTGCCTTTCCGCAGTGAGGAAGTGAAGGGAATGGGGTGCCGAGCGCTGACCAGCCCGAAGGACCAGGGCCAAGTGTGCATGGGCACAAGGCCGTGGCCCTGGGCCCATCTGTCCCGGGCAGGCTGCCGTGGCTGGAGGCTCTGCCCGACCTCTCCTGGGCCCTCATCCCCTCAGTTGGCACGTCACCCTCGGGTTTCCTAAGAATGAGGTGTGACACTTCTGCCACCCAATCTTGGTGAGTCCAGAGGAATTGCACGTCAGTGCCAGCAAAGCCTCGTCTCTGTGAGAGGCTGGTGTGCCCCTCCTGGAAGTGAGGGTTTCTTAATGGATGAGTTCCCCTGCCACTTGGGTAAGTGCAGTGACGCTCCAGGAGAGCATGTGGGTGCATCCCAATGGCACCTCCCCTCCTTCACTCTGGCAAACCGCTCTCCTCTGTTCTGCTTGTTGAGCTAGTCCAAGTTCAAGAAGCAGACACCAAGCCGCAGAGGTGCGGCGGACAAAGCCACGTGAGGGAGAGAGCCAGATGCGGGGCGCCTGCACCAGGGCCTGTCTCTGTGTTTCTGTGGGAGAGCAGGTGGGGACACAGCAGGGCAAGTAGCAGACCGGCATGCCATCGGTGCTGACTGCCCGAGGACATGCGGCCTGGGGCAGTGGGGCCAGAATTCAGTGGGGCACAGGCTCTCTATCAACTGCTGGCCGTGCAGCAAAGGCCAACAGACTCATCTTTGCAGCCCATTAGCCAGATGTCGGCATAGGGATTGGCGGGTAGAAGGTGGTCCTGTGCCCACAAGCCCAATGCAGCCTGAGACCTGCTGCTTGCACCCCACGTGTGTGCAGCCTTCAGCTTGGAGTGGAGGTGCTGTGGCAGGGGGATACATAGTGGAGTGGCTGCTCTGGGTCCCATGGCAGCCAATTACCTACACTAGGCCAGGGCCCCTAGCCTGCCTAGGAGACGGCATGGGGCAGCGTGGGCTGCTGGTGAACCCCGTCTACACCCGGCTTGACTGCCTGCTCTGTCCTCAGCACCTGGGCACAGGCCAGACAATCTCTGCTCCCCTCACCAAATGTGGGGACCAGCAGACCCTGCCATGCTTGGAGATCTGTCTTCAGCCACACACAGGCTCACCCCTGCTCCTAGCCCCTCTTCGAGCCATACCTGGGACCAGAGTCGGCCTCCGTCTCTCCCCTGGCCCAAGTACTGACTTTGCCCTTGGTCCGTCATGGGACCAGGGCCCAGCACAGGCCGGCTTTTCATCCCTATCCCAGGCCCCAGCCAGCACACACCAACCTCCAGGGCTGTCTTGGAGCAGCACACACTCCAGCTTGGGGCTGGGCACTGCTGGCATGTGGCCAGGACACCCTCTATGCTTGCTGTGGAGACAGCTAGGCCTGCTGTTGCTGCCACAGGAGGGAGGGTATTCTGGGGGTTCCAAGAACAGCAGCTAGACAGAGACACCTCCACCCAGCCCAGGGAAAGGGGGCTCCCTTGGGAGGGAAGGGGCCCTGGGTGGAGTGCTCAAAACTGTGAGCCACCCTGCGGTTAAGGCCCCTGCAATTAGCCTGCCCTTTCATTGTCCTGGCCACAGTGAGGCCCAAGGGGCCTCACCCCTAGCCACACAGGGTGTGTGTGTATTTAGCAGTCCCCCTCCCCATCCCGTCTCTGCCAGGCTCTTCTCTGGTTGGGAGAGGCACACGAGGGAGGTGAAATAATACAAGGACACGCAGCTAGCAGCAAAGATGCTCAGAAAATGTCCTCATCCCCCAATTTTTTCCCTCTGCACAACCCTGTGTGCAGAGACAGGCCCTGGCGCAGGCGCCCCGCATCTGGCTCTCTCCCTCACGTGGCTTTGTCCGCCGCAGCTCTGCAGCTTGGTGTCTGCTTCTTGAACTTGGACTAGCTCAACAAGCAGAACAGAGGAGAGCAGTTTGCCAGAGTGAAGGAGGGGAGGTGCCATTGGGATGCACCCACATGCTCTCCTGGAGCGTCACTGCACTTCCCCAAGTGGCAGGTGTGGTGTGTGGGTGTGTGATCCTGTGCATGTGTGTGGTTTATGTGCCTGATAACAGCATGACCAGCCTCACTGACCCAGGAGGGGAGAACTGGGATTTCTCAGAATTAAGGGACACAGGGGTCACAAGGATGTCAGAGTGACCTCAAGAAGGTCAGCACATGCCCGGTCCATCGAGGAACATAAAGACAAGAATGAGAGAGGTCCCTAGCCAGGGGCTCCCACTTACCTTGTGTGTGCACACAGACTCGGGGATGGGCAGATGTGGACTTGGGAAGACACCACCCACGTTCTGGGAGACAGGCCACTAATCCACAGCACCCGGCAGGGCAGCAGAGTCCAAAGCCTGGGTTCCCAAACTTCATTCTAAAATACTGAGGCACCTCCACCCCAGAAACCACAAGCCACCCAGTGCCTGAGCAAAGAGGGCAACCCCACAGATGGAACGGGATGTCGCCTGTCGACGCTGGGGTCAGTCCAAGAGGATCCGACTGCGGGGGTCCCTAGGGTAGCTCCCTTCCCAACGCCAGCCAGGAACAAGCTCCAGGAGGCATTTTCTAGAACTCCGTGCTTTTAATTGTGAAACAGGGATGGCTGATGGGAGGGAGGGTCTGAGCTGGGGGCAGTAAGGTAAGGGTCAGGGTCTAAATGGGGGCTCTTCAGGGTCAGTGTTAGGTTCCCAGGCTGGGGCTGGGGGAAGGGCACCAGGCCCTGCAACAGAGTGGGGACCCCAGGGGGTCAGGCTGGAGCCCTTGGGGCAGCACCATGGTGGTGGGTGTCCTGGGGTCAGGGGCCCTGGGTCAGGATGGGGACAGAGTCCAGCTGTCAGTCGTAGTCTGAGTCATCAAACTTGGTGCTGAAGAAGGCGGCAGAGTCCTTGGCCAGCCGAGACAGGTGCAGGGCACCGGTCACCACCAGCGCCAGGAGCAGCAGGGGTGGCACCAATGCCCACATGGTGGCCAAGATGTTGTAGCACTTGGCTTTGGAGCCGAAGCGCCGGGCTGCCTCCAAATCTCCGGCCACCTTCTGGTCTCGGGCCTGGGGACCAGCAGGCCAGGTCTGTGCATGGGTTTGCCGCCTGAGGGCCTTGCCTCCCCCACCAGGCAGCCGATGGAGGACCCATACTGGACCCAAAATCTGGATGGAGGGGTCCCCTGAGGGGACATTGCCCTGGGCTCAACCCACCCCCCTCATACCCCCAACTGGACTCACAGCTTGGCCCTCTGGGGACCCCTGCGTCCTGCTCCAGCTACGGGCCCAGTGGACATCAGGCTGGCAGCAGCCTCCAAGGACCCCCACCCCCACCCCAGGAGCTGAAGGGAGCCCCCAGCGTGTGAAAAGCCCCTGTTTGATGGGAGTGACGTCCTTGGCTAACATCCCCCCCACCCCCGATGACTTCTCTGCTCTTTTGGGTGGGCTAGGACTAGGCCCCCCTTGGCTGTGACAGCACCCCGCCTCTGCGGTGGGGCCCCGGTGAGGTGAGGCGCTCGGCCATCGCCATGCTGTCGGGCAGCCCCTCACAAGCAGCGCCCGTGGGGTCCTGCTGCACCCAGCTTGACAAGCAGGCCGGGAAACAGCCCTCCCGCCCGGCAGCCCCGCGGATCCGGCCCCCCACCGGCGCGCCCACCTTGATGGAGTAGGCCAGCGCCAGAAAGCCGAGGCAGCACAGGTTCAGGTAGAGGGTGCTGAACACCGACCAGATCAAGTGGTCCCGAGGCGGGGGGCCCGGCGCCCCCGGCGGGAGGGCCGAGGGGGCCACGCCCTCGGGCTTGCGCGGCGCGGGCGCCCGGGGGTCCTCGCGGGGGTACGCGGTGTCCATGGGTTCCAGCGCCGTCTCCTCCTCGCTCGGGCGGACGGGAGGGTGGGCGCCCGGCCGCTTATACCCGGCCGCCCAGCGCGGCCCGCCAAATATAACTACAAATTACAGGCTGCGGCCGCGCCCGCCCCGCCCTCGCGCCCCGGGGGGCTGCAGGCCGCCCCCCAGGGCCCCGCCCCCGCGGCCGCAGGGGCTGGCGGTGCCGCCGCGCTCCGTCCAGGCCCCCTCCTCAGGACCACAGCCCCAGGGGGCGCCAGAACCCGGCACCTGCTGTCACCAGGGCCTGGCCTTGGGAAGGCGTGCTCAGCAGGCGAAGAGGGCCACCAGGGAGAAAAGAGCGGGAAGCAGGACCCCAGGACCTGAACACTGCTGTCAGTGCTACAGAGCGCTGTCCAGGCCCGCTTTGGGGCCCCTCCTGCAGGGGCTGGCAGCTGCTTCTCAGCCCCCTGGCAGGCTACTCCTGCCCACCATGCTTGGGGGGGTGAGCTTAGGGCTCTGTCCTGGTCTCATCTTCCTCTCAGGGCCCAGAAGCCTTTTGCTATAAATGCATCTACACCAATGACTGCCCTTTATGTCCAAGGGCCAGACTTCCCCCAACCCCAGACTCGCAGACCCACGTGCCGCTCTCCGGAGGAGGGCTCACGGCATCACCATCCTAACTCCAACACAGGAGACCTCAGGATCTTCTAAAACCTCCTGTCTTAGGCAGCTGCGGCTGTGATAACAAAGTACCATAGACCTGGTAGCTCATAGGCAATAGATTTTTATTCCTCACAGTTCTGAAGACTGGCGTCCAAGATCAGGGTGCCAGCACAGTGGGGTTCTGGGAAGACTGTCTTGTTGGGTGCACACAGCCAACTTCCCACTGTACCCATACATGGCAGAAGGGGCAAGGGAGCTCTGTGGAGTCTGCTTTACAACAAATCTTATCACTTGGGCTCCACCCTCTTGACCTAACTACCTGCTAAACCCCCACCTAATAACACACTGGGCATTAGGAGTTCAACATACAAATTTGGAGGCCGAGGAGCATTCAGTCCAGTCCATTGCATTCATCTACCTGGCCTGCCCCAGGGCAGGGCATGTCGGCTCCACCCATCCAGCTGGCTTACCCTGCCCCCTCGCCCCCACACCAAGTCCATGTGGCCCTACCTGCCAAGGCACTGCAGCACCTGGCTGTCCCCACCGCCTCTGAGGCCGAGGCCCCTCCCCTCCCACATCAGTGCAGCCGCTGTGCTTGGGTCCTCAGGGCTGCAGCGGGAGTGGACCTGTCACAGTAGAGGACAGGCCAGGTCCCCCCTGCCCAGAGCCCTGCAGTGCGCCCTCCTCACTCCAGCTGAGATCCAGGGGCTAACAAGGCCCTGCCAGACTGCCCCAGGTTGTGGCCCCTGGGCAGCAGGCTCTGTGTAGGATGTAGAGAAGGAGGCCCAGCCCTGTAGAAGGCTGGGGGAGGGTGCAGGGGGAGGCAGATGAGCCGCAGGCAGCTGGACAAAGACCTGGGCTGGCCCCTCGGGAGCCCGGAGCTTGGACAGCCCTTTGGAGATGTCCAGAGCAGGGCGAAGGGCCCAGGTCTCTGCACCCTTGTGTTGGTCAGACAGTGGAAGCAGGATGCTCCTTGTAAGAGGTGTGGCCTCGAGTGGCAGCATTTTCCCCCACAAAGGCAGCCCCCAGCAGCTGGGGAGTGAGCCCTCCTCCCCGAAGGCGGGTTCTGAACACACATCACAAGGACAGTCACAGTCCACAGCAGCTGCTCACCAGGGCTTCTTCCTGTTGGTTTTGGGAGCAGCCCCTCCGGACCTCAGGAGGCTGGTCATCCTGGGGAAACACGGAAGAGTGAAGTGACCGGGATGAGCTCTGGATCCCGCTGCTGCAGCTGGGCCCAGGGCCACACTGAAGTCGCTCCTCCAGAACCCAGCCCGCCTTCTCCCTGCCCTCAGCTACTACATTGCTAGGCCCAGCAATGCTTGATCGACCTCCTCTGAGGTTTAGGCCTTCGTTGCCCTTGCTGGGCACATGTCTCTACCATCAGAACTGGGCCGGAGGGTGCTTTGTTCCCACCAACAAGCAGCAGCAGCCGGCCCTCTTCCCCAGGACTAGCATCACGTGGTCCTCACATGAGGAACTCCTTGAGGCATCCAAAGCTGTTGGACCAACAGTACCTTGTCGTCCTCGGCTGGAAACGTTCCCTTTGGGAAGGCGCCAGTGGTCTTGGAAGTGACGGGAGGCAGTCCTGTCCTTGGGCCCTGGACACAACTGTCCTACCCCTGACCACCACCACCTCACCAAGGTGTTTGACTGACACCTTGAGCCAGGAAGGGTGTCCACCCTCTGGACGACCACGTCTGCTCTGCTTGGTCCAGCAGGCAGCTTTAGGGTGGAATGGTGTGGGCCAACTGGCAGGTCTGAGCTATGTCCTGCCACTGGGTATGACACTTGATGTGGGACCCAGGGTCAATGCTCTGAGCCCTGAGAGGTGCCCCTGAGGTCTGGCAACAGGGCAAGCAACCACACCCCAATACATGCCCCCCTTTGGGGCAAAGGGTCCAGTGAGTAACGGGCTTGCAGCTCTGTCCATGGGGGCCTTTCCCTCACAGAGGTCGTCAGGCCACCGGCGGGGGCTGCAGTGCAGCCCCATCTCTCTCTGGCTTTCTCCCTCATACTGAACTGACCCATGGAGAACCAGGCTGGGAATTCTTCCTTCTCTGTTATCTGGTCCTACAGGGATCCCCCTTCAGCCTCAGGTGTGAGTAGAAGGGCAGGTGCTGGAAGCAGTAAGGGATTGCACAGGGTCAGGGCAGCCTGCCTGTTTGATCCAGAACATTCCACCCCCATTCTCAACTGCATTGCTGCTGGGTCTGCCCAAAGCTCTGACTCGGTGGGTCCAACAGCTCTTCTCGTGGTGGGCAATTCTGCCAGCGGCTCACCTGCCATCCCTTGCCCACCTTTAGAGATGGGACAGGAAAGAGTGCCCTCACCCATTGGGCACACACTCCCCAGCCCCGGGCCAGGTCGGTCTGAGTCCGGTGCAGCAGCTTCACCTAGGGATCCCCTGGGTTGGTCCCCCTACGGCTGTCCCCTGTCTCCACCAGAGACCAAACTGGTGAATGAAATGGAGGTTTGGGGGACCAGCACCCACTGGGCTTTGAGGGTGGCACTAATTTCTGATTATCTTCCCAGGATGAGATACTGTTTTTGATTTCTCTCCCAGGCTGGGTGGGTAGGGGGGAGCAATTCCAGACACCTCCATCTGGCCTGCTGCCCAGTCATGGCTCTTACCCAGCAGGCCATTGACCCTGTGACCTGCTTTACTCCAGGGGAAGAGGAAATGCCTGCTGGGAGGGGCCAGGGGCTGGGGCTGCACTGACAGAGGGGCCAGGGGCTGGGGCTGCACTGACAGTGTGATTTGGGCCTAGAGCCCCATGATTCCTTGACACCATGTATCCCATGTAAAAGAGAGACCAATAATACTTTGTTGAGATATTGTGATTTATAATAAGATATATTTAATCTATATTTGCCTTTCCAGCACAGAGCCCCTAAAGCCCTGTAACCTCCCAAGTACTGAGAGCGGGCAAGTGTCTTCTGTTATGCTAATGAGGGGGCTTTTGGACCCTGCCTAAGTGATGCTGGGGTTCTTGTTTGCAGAGCCCAAGAATAAGCTTCACAAACACTCAAAGTAGCAGAGCAAGGTACAGGCTTTTATTTAGAGATACCGTGAAAGGACAGAGCTCCCGGCTCACGCCAGGAGGGGACAAGAGAGTCCGTAGTGGTGCATTGTCTAGGGGATTTTATAGACAGTTGAGGATTTTTCGAGAACATGAAAAAAGCTTAGGGATGTGGACTCTGAATATTTAGAGTTAACACAAGCAACTTCCTCTGATTTCTTTCTGAGATACCAGCATCTTGGTCTGGAAGCATATGAAACAAGGCCACCTGCTCAGCCCCCCAAGGTGAGCCAAGGTATTGTTTGCTAAAGAGTAAGTTAAGAATTTCTAACCTCTTAACTTCTTGGGTATTAAAATGCAATCTTATCTTTAAGGTGGAATCCTTCCTGCCTTTTACTGTTTATTGTTTATGCCTGGGCTTACTTGCGAAATTAGTTGCCCAGTTTGCAAAATCACTTCATCAGATCTGAAGGAGGAAAGACAGCACAGAGGCCTGGGCCTTTTAGTATGCTAAAGAGGACCTTACACATGATTATAAATGGTTAGCATAATAAAACATGTGCTACTCTTCTTTATCTGGGGAACATTAACTGATTTCACTGAAGAATGATTCTAGAGCTCAATGTTTAACATAGAGTTTTAGCAGGGGGGTTTCCTTGCATGTAGTTACATTGCTCTGACTGCAAATATCCTGCCCTGCCCCCCTCCAGAGGCCCTCACCCTACTCTGACTACATCTATGGTCCCTGTCTCATAAGGATGGGGGCTGGTGGCCAGGAGAACCAGCCCTGAGCTTAGAGGGTCGGAACTTTCTGCTCCACCTTACAACCTCCAGGAAGGGAAGAGGGGCTGGTGGTTGGATCAGCTGCAGGCCAATGACTCAGTCACGGGGCAGGAAAGGAAGCCGCCATAGAGACCCAGAAGGAGAGGGCGTCAGAGAGCTTCCAGTTGGTGCACACCTGGAGATCTGGGGGCAGTGGCGGCAGAGAGGCCACGGGGGCTCCGGGCCTCCCCACACACCCTGCCCTGTGTGTCTCTTCCGTCTGGCTGTTCCTGAGTTGTATCCCTTTACAATAAACTGGTGATCTAGTGAGTAAAATGTTCTCTGGATTCTGTGAGCCGCTCTAATCAAACTGAAGGAGAGGGATGTGGGAACCTCAGGTTTATAGCTGGTTTGTCAAAAGTACAGTGACAACCCCGACTTTCCACTGGTATCTGAAGTGGGGTGGGAGGCAGTCTTGTAGGACCCAGCCCTTAATTTGTGGGATCTGACCCTACCTCTGGGTATAGAGTGTCAGAACTGAGTTGAATTAAGTTGAATTCTTGGACACCCTACCAGTGTCCAAGAATTGCTTGGTGTTCTGT